GAGAACCAAAGGAGGAGGAAGGAGCAAGCGTGTCTGAAGAAATTATGGCCAAAATTTTCCAAGTTTAATTAAAGGCATAAACCTACAGATTCTCAACAAACTCCAAGAATAAGAAACAGGGAGACACTTCAGACTCAAGTTGCTCAAAATCAGTGAAAGAGAAAGTGTTAAGAAGAGCCGTAGAAAGAAGTATGTTAAGGAATAGACCCTGGCAGTTGTAGATTCTCCTCAGGAGCAGCACTGACTGGTTCCAAGTTGGTCACCAGCATTTGTGAGGTGACACAGATGAATTTGATACCCAGAAGGGAGATCTTTCACATCAGAAGGTAAAATAAGCATTTCTCAGACACTGAAAGCTGAAAGAATTCATTCCTGGTAGGCACATACTGCAAGAGATGTTAAAGAGTCCTGGGACACTGTGGGAACCATATGACCTCAAGTTCTTGGGACGCTTTTTCTTATCAACAACTCGTGAGAATGCACTTGGGCAACGGCATGAGGGCTTATCCCAAGAAGTCAACCTACAAAATCTGTGGCTTGTTCTAGCAAAGATGACTCTGATCCTGATGAAGACACTGACCTCTGTGGCAAGTAAACATCAGTGAGATTTTTTTTCTTTATAAAGATGGCGGCAGCAGTCCCTAAACCCAGCACCTGGGAACCAGTAGCAGGAGAATCAAGAATTCAAGTCCTAAAACAAGTTTGAGGCCATCATGAGCTGCATGAGATGCTCTCTCAAAAACCAAAAGATGTACCAGGAAGCTTATAGAAAGCTTATAGAAAGAGGAGCTTCCCAATTTCCACTGGTTAGAAATCTAAATTTTGTCCGCATTTTCTCTGGAAATGTGCTAAATTGCTACTGCTTCTGAAATAAGAGAAACTGCCTTTTCTCAAATCAGTTAAGTATCTCATAATAAAGGGCTGGCACAACTTTTTTCTTAGAAAGGAAAAATAGTGTTGACATACCTGAAGGACTCTCCTAGATACCTTCCTTTTAGTTTCTGACTATGGAGACCAGACCCATAAAGCAAGAGTTCTGAGAGCCAGCAGAAGGGAACTGAAAGGCACCAAATAACAGTGGGCCAGACCTCATAAAGGATGGAGTCAAGGAGGCAGGTCTTTAGTAGAGATAGGGCAGCCAGGGAGGAGCTGGGCAGCAGGGGCAGACCCACCCTAGAAGCACCGATCACCATCACAAATAGGGTGGCAGAAAGTTCCTGCTATGAGTTCAGGATCAGAACCAGGTGAGGTCATGTGGCCTCATGTGGCAAAAGGTTCCATTCCGAAATCAATTACACACAGTATATACAGGGCATTTTCTTCTCATGCAGGATTTTATGCCAGCTCTAAGACTAAAACCAGGGGTGAAACCGTGTCCAGTTTTACCTTCTACATCCTGAGTGCCCTGCTAGTCTCAACAGCACTTATTATACTTCCCTGGTTCACAAAGATCGCAGCGCTCATCTCTAACACACACGTGGGATTACAAACCCCACAAATAGGGAAGAATAGAAAACAGACATTTTGAAGGGCCTCACAAAGGAAGCTGTAAACATGAAGGCTGGGGACATCTGAGTGCCCCCTGGCCTGGGCTCCACAAAGTGACACTAGAAGAAGATGATCGCTCACCTAGCCAGGGTGTTGGGTGATGCTCTTTTACCACCTATAGTGCTCAAACCCAAGTTATCAAAGACCAGTGACTGCCTAAGCTGTGCAAATCTGCTAGGCAAACCTTGTAAGGCATGTTCCCAGGGCATGCAATCCAAGTCGACAGACCAGCAGTAACAGAAGAAACTGAAATCACAGCTGACCCTAAACATATTCAGTTCTGTAGCTTTAGGACAGATCTGCCTCACAGAACACAAGCAGTGTGCACTTTCAAAATACTCATGCAATAAAGAGAACTGCTTTCTAAACTTTCTCATCTGCTGATTAATAAAGTAACTTTGGACAATTCACAAAAATTTCCCAAACTGCATTTCCTACATCAGCTTACCAATGCCAAAGGCTCCCTCAAAAAGACTTTGTAAAAACAAAATTTGAGGCGGTCCCATACATCCAGAGCTGGCCTTTATTAACCTAGTAGCCTAGGATGACTATGAACTTCTGATCCTCTTACCTCTACCTCCTATCCTAAGTGCCGGTATTGCAGGTATGAGTCACTACACCCAGCTTATGTAGAACTGGGGATCAAACTCACCCAGCTTAGGTAATATTGGGGATCAAACTCAAGGTTTCCTGCATGCTAGACACCCTTCCAACTGAACAACATCCCTAGTCCTCTCCCTCAAAAGTCTTGATACTAAAACCAAACTTACTTAAGAGCATGAATCTAAATACATTCTTCCTCTTTAAAACTTCATATACAAACTTTCTACTCAGTGTGGAAAACTGTGACTGATTCTAGCTGCACATCCAGCCTGCTTGGCAAATCTCTGGAATACTCTGTCTCAGCAGTATTCAGCGTGGCCTGCAGGCCAGCCTCAGTTCACAGTGTAGTGGTCCCAGGAAAGATACATCAGAAGCTGAGTAGGCATTTGGGAGGCAATTAAATGGACAATTCATATCTATTGAAACATAAAAACACAGGGGCTTAAAGTTTGTGACTTTTTCATTTTCCTGGCAATTCATTTGAATGTTCTTTATACTTTATAGAACTTCATGATAGACTAGCAGATTAGAAAATTTTTTAAATTTTATTTATTTTATTTTAGGTGTATGAGTGTGTTGCCTGCATGTATGTTAAGTGCACCAGTGCATGCAATGCCCATGGAAGCCAGAAGAGGGTGTTGGATTCCACAGAACTGGATGGTTGTTAGCTGCCATGTATAGCAACCATGTGGGTGACGGGAATGGAACTCAGGTCCTCTGCATCTTTTGCAAGAAGAGTCAATGCTCTTAATTGCTGAGCCATCTCTCCAGCCTAATTAGAAAAAATTTTAAAACCACCATAAGTAATAGTAGACACACTGCTCTAAGCAGCCAGACTGCACTGCACACTGGGAAAGTCCTTGATGCTGGACTGGCCCTCTGGTCAGGGTATTTTGACAGCTCTGATGCAGGCCCTCATGGTGGGAACCCTAAAGGGCACCAGAACAAGGATCTACTCTAGCTAGCAGAGACCTTATGAAAAGCAAGCATCTTTGGGGGCTGGAGAGATGGCTCAGTGGTTAAGAACACTGAATGTTCTTGCAGAAGACCCAGGTTTGAATCCTAGCACCCACATGGCAGCTAACAACTGTCTGTAACTCTAGTTCCAGGGGATCCGACAGCCTCTTCTGCCCTCCAAGGCCATTCATGGCATGACACGTGTGTACTTACCTACATGCAGGCAATACATGCATATACATAAAAATATAAAAATAATAAATAAAATATTTTAAAAAAAGAAAAGTAAGCATCTTCACAGCACTCAAAAGAACTCACGAATCCTCAAGAATGTCAAGGAAATTGTAGGAAAGTTTTTTTCAGAAACATCAGATGTGAAAAAAACTGTTTTAATGAAACAGCAATTTCTCCCTAGCATTTTAGAAGAACATGGACACACTGATAGTTCTTTCTCAGGGTTTTGTTTTTTGTTTTTGTTTTGTTTTGTTTTAAGACAGGATCTCAGACTAGCCTCAATCTCTCAGTTCTGTTGTCCCAGCTCCCAAAGGCTGGGATTATAATTCTGCTCCTCAAGTTTCCTCCAGGCTACAGAGGTATATGGTAAGATGGAAAGAGACTTGACCAAGGGTCAGAAGTCTTGGTGGCCACCAGTTGTGACTCACTGTTCTTAAGTGTGCCCATAGGAAGCACCTGTGTTCCAGCAATAACCACACCTGATTCCTAGGCCTGGGGCAGATGATTGCATGGCAAAGAGGCGGGGTGCGTGGCAAAGGCTGCTAAATGACTGGCTGGAAGACAGGAAAATTATCCACGGTAATTGTAAGAAAAGCAGAAGAAAGAGGTAGAACAATCAGGAGAGCTGGAAAGATGGGTCAGAGAGATATGGTGTGAGCTGAAGACAGAAGGAGCCACAGTGTCCCACAGGTGGAAAGGCCCAGAACCAGGCTCTCTGGTGGACAGTCTAGAAAGGAATATAGACCTGCCCACACTTTGATTTTAGCCCAGTGAGACTTGTGCCAGACTTCTGAACTATCATCCAGATAATAAGAGGGTATTGTTTTAAGTCACTGAGTGTGTGGTCACTTGTTACCACAACAAAAGAACAGGTGCAGGTGGGTAGGTGTGGACTGTGTACAGAATCTGGCTGTTGAGGAAGCTCTTTGAACTTGAAGATCCCAGGCGCCCTCCTGTGGCCAGATGCCATGCAGCCAGACAAAAGCCAGACTTCTTGGCAGTGGTACTTTTTTCATTTACCTAGTACCTTCTAAAAGTCTTAATACAACAGAAGCTCTTCAACCAAATGAAGCCAGGGAAAGTCAGTTTTGTTCAATCTGCTCCCAATGGACCATTGGTCCTTCTACAGCTGCTTCCCAGTTCAAATACCACAGTTACCTCCCCTCACACGCAACAGCCCCACCAGAGTCTGACTCCACACAGCTCAGCCCCTGGCTAAAGTGGACATGTGGTATCCATGAAGAAGCAGCCACACCACAGAAACTCAGAGAGGATGAAGGACTCTTGGGCCCTTTCTCTCCATGCTGCCCCTGTGCTGGGATGAAAAAGGAGCCTGAATATCATTCTCTTCTGTGTGAGGTGACTGAGGGCCTGTCAAACGGCAGGTAGGGAGGTGCCAGGGAGACCCAGGACATGGCCCACATCTACCACCTTTATTTTACCAGATATACCCAACAAAAACATATCATAAAATCCAATATTTTTAGTTCAAACAGGGTTTCCCCCTTTCCTTTATAAAGCTTTTTTGTATGTAAGCTAAATCAGTAAGTGTCTACTGAAAAGAAACTGTTCCATGTTAGCAGCTGAGTGCGGAAGCCCCTGGTGTTTTTCTGAGAGGATCAGCCTATCTCAGAGGCTCCACCCTAAGCCCCTCTTACCTTGTCACAGAAGACTTTTATCTGGCAGTAGGCCCGGTGCACAGGCTTGTTGCTGCGGTTGTTGTAGCTGTAGGTGTCGATTTGGATGTTAAGAGGCAACCCCTTCACACCCTTCTGAGAAGAAAAATCGGTGCTTAAGCAGTTCACAGAGATAAACACCTGTGAAGGGAAAAGAATGTTCTATAAGCAGCAGCTCCCATAGCCTCAACAAGACCTATGAAAATGTTAACAGTGAGGGAGCTCAGCTTCTGGCAGGAAAAGGGCCCTTAGAGGCAGCAGAGGGTGTATGTAGAAAGCACTTCTGAACACAGGCGTGGGGAACAAGCAGGGAGTTGGGACCTCTGTTCATTCCTTCTAGGATAGCTCCAGTATCAGCCAGGACCAGCAGAAGAATGAGGCTGCTGGTGTCATTTCTGATGCCACTTGCTGGTGTTGCTGTGGGCTGTCCTTCCTCAGCTGAGGAGCTGCTCAGTATACTCCTAGAACCCACCTGTACCTTCTGTGTCACCTCTCAGGAGAACCTGCAGCAGTCTGTGTCCTAATACATCGAGACTTAACAAAAGCTCGGTTCCACTAATCTGTAACTTCTGACTATAAAATTCTAGAAAATTCACTTGCAACACCTGCTTGTTCAGATCAAAACGTCTTTCTTTCCTCTTTTCTTGTGATCTTTTGGTAATAGAATCATATTGGGCCAAGTCCTCAGAGCATAATTTAAAATATCACTGATTTTCAAGTATCTCCTTTCAGGGAGCATTCCATAATTTAAATATAATTTTAATTTACATGCCTGGGTAGAAGCTAAAAGCGGCAGTTTTTCACATGCTGAGAACTTAATTATCACAATAGTCTACAGAGTGGTCACAAAACACTGAGCAATACATTCCTCATTTTAGGAGACTGCACAGAGACATAGTTGAAACATCTTAGGAGAAGTCAGGAAGACATTATGTTGGGGAGGGGAGAGTGTCATATACAGGAGAGAAAAGGAAAAGTTATATGAGCAATGGAGCCGGTTTGTGAGACAGTTACAAAGCACTCTAAAGAGCAACAGACAGCCCTTGAGGTTGCCAACCTGTAGTTTCACAAGTCTGGTATCTTTTACCACTGACCCACACAGACCCATTTTTAAAGACTATGTCACCAAGTCTAATGGGGTCAGCTTCCATGCCCTTGAGCCAAGAGTCAACTAGCAGAGAAGCTTCCATCTGGAATTCTGTTTTTCAAGGAGGAAGTCAGAAGAAGGCATACCTAGTCCCACCTTCCTAAACTGTATTCCCAGTTAATTATGACCTGTTCATCTTCCAGTAAGTGTTCTCAAAGGTTAAAACAAATGGGGGTACATAATTCCTGTGGTACTGCAAGCTGTTACTCAGTGGAGCTCTGCATAGTTAGTGAGTATGCTCCATTTTCCCCCTTTCAGGGTTCTAGGTCTTAACCTGTACATGATCATCATTTCCTAAGCCACTGGCTTTAGAAATTATTTCTGATGCATGAACACCACAGAGTGGATAGTATTGGACACACAGCCTTAAAACCAAACAAAATAAAACAGAATGGACCCCGGAAACAGGCACATTTCAGAGATGCAAGACCCATAAGCCATACTATCAAGATTCCTTCCAATACCGTGACCACGGCCAGTCAAGGGTAGGTTACCACAAGCAGCACTGGGTGTCCCTGGCTGAACTAAGACACAGACAGGGATGACTTTAGGTTATAAATAGGCAGGTGTTGGGGGCGGGTGCACTATAAGAACATTAAATGAAAAAGAAGAGAATAAAGAAGAGAAGGTGGAGAGAAAGAAAAATTAGAATCCCAGTAACAAAGAACACTTCTAGATGGTATTCAAGGTGTGGCTAGAGAGTTTTTACTCTCACTCTATTCTTTCTAAACAGGAAAAGACCAAAGATCCAAAAAAGATTGGGAACATGTCTAATCAGATTTGAAAACCACCTCTCATCTTGTCCCTTTACCAACCTTCCCCCAGATCTTCTCACTGTCCTTGGCCACTGCTGAGTTGATGTCAGTCCGATCTCACTGTTGACCTTGCAAGCTCCTTAATTGGTCTGATGAGGGCCACCCCACAGCTCTGTGCTGCCTGTCCAGGTCTGCAAGGGTCCAGCTGGATTCCACGCTCCACACAAAGCTCCTGCCTCTCTATGTGGGCTTCTTTAGTGTGCTGGACCACTCTACAGAGCCATCATTGTATCCAGAAGAGGGCACTGTTCTCCTTCCACAGCTCCCTCCAATAGCTCCCTCGGAGCTACTGAAGCTCTCCAGGCTGTACCAGATGGAAAGCCAAGGAACTGGAGTTCGTGGCAGGACTTTCCTACCATTTCAGAGTGACATCTTTTTTCCAAATTGATCTGTTCTTGCAGACTTCATCCCTGGCTATGGTTCTCCAACTATCTGGTTGTCCCTTTCTCTTGACCATCCACACTCTGCCACTATGATATCTTGCTTTGAAATTTTTTCTATTAATTTCTAGTAAAGAAGCAAAATCGCTTGACTTAAAAATAAATGTGTGTGTGCGCGCGCGTGCGTGCGCGTGCAGGTCTAAGGAGAACCTCAGGTGTCATCCTTAGAAACTCTATCCAGGTCCTTCAAAACTGGGTCTCTCATTGGCCTAGAGCTCACCAAATAGGCTAGACTGGCTAGCCAGCAAGCCCCAGACATTCATGTCTCTGCCTCCTTGGCAGTAGGATTACAAGGGTAGACCACTCACCCAGCTTTCTACATGGATGCTGGGATCAAGCTCAGTCCTCATGCTTGTAAAGCACACACTTTACTGTATCATTTCCTCAGCTTCTGCTTTTATTTTTGTAAGGACTTAAGTCCAGATATATGGTGGAAAGAGGCACACAGGGCTTTCAAACTGCTTTATAGAAAAATCTGTGCTTTGACTTGATGTCTTTTCTTATATATTTAAAAAAACATTTCATATGCAATCCATAAATCTATAAATGAGAGGTAGTAAAGAGTCTATGGAACACACTTAGTTAAGAAAAAGGAAAGTGGGGCCAGGGACATGGCTTAGCAGGTAAAGGTGCCACCAAGTCTAACCATCTAGGTTCAATCCTCAGAATCCACATGGTGGAAGTAAAGAACTGACTTTCAAAAGTTGTCCTCTGACCGCCTGACACATGTATGCATGTACACAACACACAAATTAATAATTGTAAAAAATAATTAAAAGGGAGCTGGAGATAGCTCAGTGGTTAAGAGCACTGGCTGCTCTTGCAGACGACCTGGGTTTGATTCCCAGCACCTACACGGTGGCTAACAACCATTGGCAACTCCAGTTCCAGTTCCAGTTGCCCTCTTCTGGCCTTTGCAGGCACTGCATGCACAGGTGCACTTACGTATATGCAGGCAAAACACTCATACACATAAACAAAATAATAAAAAAAAAGTTGAAAGGAAAAAGAAACAAGAGTAATAAGAAAAAAAACAAAAGGGGAAAAAGGAAGGCAGTATATGTAAACAATGTAAGTTACTAAGCCACTCCACATTTCATCTGACAACCAAATGGAAGATCTACACTTCTCTCTGTCATCTTGGGCCATGTAGCACAATTCCTAACTCAGCAACAGCTGCCTGGGAAAGTTACGCTTTAGCTCACCAATTCCAGGAAGTCTGTGACCCAAAGTGTCATTCCATTGACAAGAGGATTTCATGGTAATCCAACCCAAACCTGACCTCCCCTTGCTTCCCAGCTTCAAGTTTCTATTCAAAACAGAAATAAACAGGGGCCAGATCCCAGGATCAGCAAAGACACAGAGCCTTGGGGAAGACCCTGCATCATAGTATTGCTTACACTCGCACCTAGATGTGCTTGCTTCCTATTTATAAAAATTCTTTCCAAACTTAGATCTCTAAAGTTATCAAAAGAAGTTTACAGTGGTCCTAACTCAGCATTTAAAAAAATGCCTCCTTGTTTAGTTAAATATACAAACATACCAGTACGTAGGGACAAGGTGGGAAATAGAAGCACACTACTCCATGAAGAGCAATAGTCTGAAGACTCCAAAAGAAAAGCCTCATATAGTAGGATCATGAAAAGAACATGCAGGACCAAGGGGCATCCTCAACCAAAGAGTGTCAGTGCTGGATTTAGGCCTTCACTAAAAGCCAGCAAAGGTAGCAAGAAGCCCCTTTGTGTTTGCTAGCAGGATAGAAGGTACTCAACAGAGGTAGCTTTGATCTGAAAATTAAAGAAATTAAGTTTGCCTCCAGCTCTCTCCATAACTAGTGCTGCCATAGTGCCACATTCCTCACCTGTCACATGACCAGGCAAGATAGAGGCTCTCCAAATCACTTCCAACTCCAGACCCCTGTGACATTCTGTTCACAATAAAAGAGGATGAACCCTAAACTTCACTGCCTTACTGGAGATAAATTTTTAAAGAAAATACATTTACCAGTGTACTTTCTATGAATCTTGTTACTTTAAAGGTACCATGAGGGGCTGGAAAAATAGCTTAGTAGTTAAGTCCTTGCTGTTCAACCATCAGGATGGGAGTTTGGATACCAGCACCCATATCAGGTGGATCACAAATATCTGTAACTCTAGCTCAAGGGATCCAATGCCCTCTTCTGGCCTCCACAGGCACTTGCACTCATGTGTACATACCCACACACAGACAGATGCACACAGATACACAAACATAAATAAAATCTTTAAAAAACAAAACAAAAAACAAAATCCCTTATAGATAAAGGTATTATATACTCTCACACAACATGGCCTGGAAACTTAGTAGACATGTTGATTTCTTGCCCACACTCCTACTCCCCAAGAAGCACTCCAGGGGATTCACCACATGAAAAAGCCCTAGGAGCTCATCTCTTAAACGGTGGTTCACACCACAGGTCAGGCTGGAATCCCTGGTGTCCTGAGACCTATGGAACTGAACACATGGCAAAGGACTGGGATAGTTCAGCCTGGGTGGGTCCCACACCAGGATGTCTTCTTGGTGTCCCCAGATATTCATCTGATCAGCCAGGAAGAAAACCATCCTGTGAGGGATTGATCTACACAATGGCATACTTCATAGTACATGAAAGGTCTCATTTGACTCCAAAAGTCTGAGAATCAAACCTATCCTAATACATGATTTCTTTCCTTTAAAGAGTCTAGATCCTCTTACATGCAT